ACAAATACAACGTTATACTAGCGCAAGTCAGCTACCACGATTACAGTGAAATTTAAGTTAAAGTACCACAAATACAACGTTACACTAGCGCAAGTCAGCTACCACGATTACTAGTGAAATTAAGTTATAAGCCACAAATACAACGTTACACTGCGCAAGTCAGCTACCAGATTACAGTGAAAATTTAAGTAAAGCCACAAATACAACGTTACACTGCGCAAGTCAGCTACCAGATTACAGTGAAAATTTAAGAGAAGAGAAAACTGGAAGGAAACGGCGCAGAACTTCATAGAAAGCGCCACCTCTTTGTAAGCAGAAACAAATCTCCATAAATCACCAAAACTATTCTCACAAACAGCTCTTCTCTCAAACTGACCAATCACAAGACGCATAAAAAAATGCGAATGTATACTTGCCCCATATGGTAGTTGTACTATAGTCTTAGACTCAGGGTACAATACGGCTACTCCTCGGAACGACAGATGACACTCTTGACCGACTCGTACCCTGGAGAGTAACAGTTAGAGCTAATTTTCACACAGCATATATCTGGTATTGAATTAGCACTGGAGCAAAATTTATTTATTTTTACTATACTTGTTTTTGCTGCTGTTATTTGTTAGTACAAAGCTACAAAATGGGCTATCTGTAATCTGTCCACTGAAAGGACACGACCCTCGGATTTTAGAGTTGCAAGTTTGTAAACTTACTGCTGACTCAACGGGAGACTTTACATGTATATACTGAGTATATAGGATCTGTGATACATATATATATATATCCTGTATCATGAACTATGTAGAATAAGTATAAGATTATAAAGTTTCACGGTGTAGTACTATGTATACACAATAGGTACATAGTACTGTGTTTCAACTACGCACATAAAACACACGATAATAAAATATTACATATTTCTAATACAAATTTAATGAATTAAAGAGCAAGTTTGCATGAAAATAAAAAATCACAATCTTTTTAAGGAAAACATATATTAATATACATAGTAACATTATTAAAAAAAACCTCGACTGAACACAACATTGCATTACTGGCTTAATATGTGGATTTAGGATGAATATACATATCTTAAGCTGGCGGAATGTAGTGTGATGTTGTTGGGATTATGATCGAAAATATTGTTTGTAACGAGGATAACCAACTGATTATTCAACGCATTCTCATAATTATAAAAATATTAGCTTTATCAATTACTTTATAACTGAATCATTTTTAGTTTATTATTGTTTGATCAAAAGTTCTCAATAACGATAATCAACAAAATGTAATAATACATTAACCAAAACACTAAACACATGATCTACGTAAATATTTTAAAGCCAGGTGGTTAGGATGCTCGACTCGTAATCTGCGGGTCGCGGGTTCGAATCCCCCATCCCACCAAACATACTCGCCCTTTCAGCCGTGGAGGCGTTATAATGTCACGGTCAATCCCACTGTTCGTTGATAAAAGAGTAGCATAAGAGTTGGCTGTGGGTGGTGATGACTAGCTGCCTTCCCTCTAGTCTTTCATTGCTAAATTAGGGACGGCTAGCGCAGATAGCTCTCGTGTAGCTTTGCGCAAAATTCAAAACAAACCCAAACAACGAGGTATTTTTCTAAAGTCTGTAGTAAGCATGTTGGACAGAGCAACAGATGTAAGACGTAACGTGTGGTTACTTATTCACCACAGGTTTATATTTTATATAGAGGTTATTACAGTTTCAGAAGTTACCAATGAGCCTTTAGCACCCGCACGTAAAATGGTTCATCCTTTATATGTATGCAAACTTGACATTTGCTTTGTCCATTTCTTATCCTATGAAACTAAGTAGTTTTGTCTTCAACGACAAATTTTAGATAATATTTTAAGTACTAAATACTTTATAAAATTAGCGGCTCAACCGAGCAAGAGAAAAGTTTATTAAAAAAATATTTTTTTTTCTCTCTGTTCTTCACGAATCCAAGAGTCTTTTCGGAAATCTAATAGTACTCAAAATATAGGGGGTGGCCAAAAGCAATTACACGGTAGGATCTGAGAAAATGGCAGTAACATTAGTGTAGCTGCTTACGATGTGTATTTCGGACAAATATTGGTTGTCCCCCTATTAATCTTTGGAACCAATTAAATTTTAAATTTTAAAAAAGAAAAGAAAGATGCATTTAGTGCATAACTATATAATCACTTCTGGCCGCTTCCCAGTGGCTCAATAGTATGCTGTAGAGCTTATACCTCTAAATTTTGAGGTTCGATCCCTGCGACTAATACAACGCAGATAGCCCACTGCACAGCTTTGCGCTTAAACAAATACTTGCCCCCCCCCCACCAGTGGCACAGCGGTATGTCTGCGGACTTACAACGCTAGAATCCGGGTTTCGATACCCGTGGTGGGCAGAGCACAGATAGCCCATTGTGCAGCTTTGTGTTTAACTATAAACAAACAAATACTTTCGGCCAACTTTTGAGCACTAGAGTGGCACAACGTTGTTAGAAGTTGTTATCCATAAAATGTAATTCGCCCCAGTGAATGAAAAAAAACGAAGATTGTGTTTGAGCATAAAAGATACAATAAATGGTCTTCAAATCAAAAAACCGTGCGAGGTTTTAGATTTATCATATAAATGTAGTTTATAGATGTTTTTGTTCATATTCACAGAGGTTTATCAGATTTATTCCACAGCGACAGACGTGCCTTACGTTACGATTTTTACCTACAGTATACAGATATAGAAAGTAACAGCTGTTAAACTTGTGCCTCATTACAATATGAATCAGAGCTTTGCGTTTAATGCAACACCAGTAGATTAATTTAATGAATCATACGTCATACATAGTTATAAGCGAGATGCCTTTTATTCCGGTTATCAGAACGTATGCCCCCAGTGGCACAACGGTATGTCTGCGGACCTACAACGCTAGAAACCGGGTTTCGATACCCGTGGTGGGCAGAGCACACATAGCCTATTGTGTAGCTTTGTGCTTAATAAGAACAAACAAAAAACATCCAGAACGTATATACTTTACAAAATGAAATATTTCTCTGAAACACGTGTTTTCCCAATTATTATAAATATGATTATATTTACTTTATCTACAAGACATCGAACACTAATCAATCATGACATGCACTCATTCTGGGTTATGCTTCCATCCATGTGTATGTGTTTGTTTGTGCGTTTGTCAGCAAGATTTCTCGAAAACGGCTGAAAAAATTAAAATGGCTGACAAACATATTGATATCACATAGATGTAATCATTTATGAGACAGCACTAAGTCCCGTGAGTGACATGCAAAATAGAACTGACACACAAACGTATTACAGACCGTTCTGAAATGGTAAAGAAATGCATAAGGTACACAAGACGATAAAACTAACCACCTACACAACCATGCGCCATTGTGATAAATATCTAGAGCATGAAGATAAAACTAGAATTCTATATTGAAGAAATACGTAAACTGCGAGGAGAAACCTTAAATCTTGTACACATTTTTATATCATTGTTGTTGGGAAAATGTCTTAGTTGATTTGTCGCATTTCGCGAGGACTATTTATTCTAGCCGTTTCTATTTTTGAAGTGATATACTAGAACTAGTTAACACCACCAACCGCCAACCCTTGGACTACTCTTGTTGCTTGTCTTTCACCGTTGCTCTTGTAACAAACATGGCTCTAAAGTTTGTAGTGTAATTTTGGAGGGGGGTAAGGCGGTTACAGGACGTGAACCACAGGACCTCAGCCCTACTGTCCGGCACACTAACTACTTGACCGCGCTCGGACCGATTGGAGAAATACATAAACAATGAAGACTTATGGGGACCACATAGTGTGACTCATACACACAGGAGTGAAATTCTAAAAACAAAAAACAAAGTAGAGATACTCAGTTGAAATAAGGCCTGTTTTTGAAAAAGAAAAAAAAAAGTATATGTGTAAATATAAAAAACGACAAAGCAGTTCAAATAAGTCTTAGTATTAGTACCACCTTAAAAAATAAGTTCCGGTACTCGGTGAGTACCGACACCCCTGTATACTCACATAGGAAAAACAAAATTAGCAAAAAAATTCTCGACAAAACCTTAATTAGTTAAATTTAAGTAATATATATATTATATATATAATATTTCAACATACTATTTTCCTTGTTTCATATGGGATTGATGGACTGAAATTCTGCTATTTCTTTTTTCAACTGTTTTTATATGTACTTTCTGCGCAGTTAACCACGGGAACATTATCCAAACAGCATATTTTGCATAAATAAGATATTATTGTGTGTGGTACTGACATGCGTTTGTAATTTAACAGTGCAAGACCCTATTTGTTTCATTCTGAACATGGATATGTACAAAACAATTTATGCTCACCCGTTGCTAAGCGACATTGCTGATCCCAGAAACGACCCACACTTGCCTTAACGAACCAATCACCAAGTGTTACGATTTAGTTGTTTTCAAAGCACACAGGTAGTTTAGGTTTCTGGGTGACACAGAGACGAATAGAGTTATACATTTTCTAACAAATTTCATGATTTTGTGATCAAATGATAGGTAAGAAGTGCACTTTTCAAAATCAGTAGATTGCAGTCCAAAAACTATGTGCTGGTAGTGATCAAACTCCCCGCACTGTAGCAGCACCAGTCACCAGTTTTTATTAATTTATTCCTTTTAAATTTTAGACTTTTGAATTTTTTGAGTAAGCAGTACAAAATTTTAATTCGCCAAAAACGATTGTAGCACGAACAATTCACCAATATTTTAAAACAACATAGCAACTTTAGTCCATGAACACTGTAAAATATACACAATGACCAGTAATTAGCCAAAATATGGCAATCTATACTATTATTCTGCTTGTTTGTATGTACGACCGTTACGCTTTCCGACCTAGAACCTGCTGGGGCACTAAAAAAATCATTATGTCGCAATGGTAAATCCGATAGCATTGCTGCTTGGACACGTGAAAGAACGTATTTTTTGACAGTTGTGTTTACAATCTGAAGGAAATCGGTCAAGCAGTTTTGGAAAAATATAATTTTTAATTTATTTTTGTTGACCTGCAGGACGTGGACCCAGTTCCAGACCTCTATACGTAAGCTGGACCCGTGGAAATCTCACGGGTGTTGACAACTAAGATATCATCATTACTCTCGCATATATATTTCTGCAATTAAAATATATAATTTTGTTAAAGTAATTTATTACCTATGGAATGTATCTATATTAACTATCAATAGCATACAAAGGCAAATGAAACTATTTTGGCTCAACAACCAATTTTAATTTAAAAAAATATACACATAAGAACAAAATATTAAATAAAGCTTCAAGTTGCTTCCAGGAAAATATGTATATCATTACAATGTTATTACAATTATATACTTTAGTAAATGAATAAACAGGTTAAAGGTAATTAACTAAGAATTTTCATAATATTCAAATAAATGTCAAAAGTTGAAAAATGGTCCAAGCTGAAATGATCATTTTTATGGGAAGTTTAATATCAAATAATTGCTGGAACTGTCCATGTTAAAAGAGTTGTTTTAAAAAAGGTAAACTGATGAGGGAAAACCTACCCAAAATCATAGTTTGAAAGAAAAAAACAAAATAAAAAATCATACCAGAAATTACAGCCCTGTACAGAGAGCTTACAGTCAGTCAATAAGTATTTTAATACACTTAAGGACCACAAAAAACAACAACAAGAAACATAAAGTATAGACCGTGAGCTGACTTATTATAGGAGTAAGAACAGGTAAGGAAGGGGCGACTGTCCTCCCTAATATATTGCATATAGGGGCAAAAGTATTTTTATTTACCCTTTCCCTCCTAAAGGGGGGGGGACAAATGGTGAAATAAAACGTAAATGGTGGAAAACTTAGCAAAAGAAAAATATTTTAAGTTCAATTCATTACATTTTTCTGACTTACAATGAGTGTTCGAATTTAAGTGAACAGAAGTGAACGCCTTTCTGATTCTTGAAATGAATGCGTTTCGTCCACCATGTTAATAAAGTCATGTCAATACGCGAAATGTTGAGAGCGCGATTTCAATAACTGACTTAGCCTAAACAGAAGCACGCAAGTACAGCTACATTCATATTGACTTTCCATGTACTGTATATCTTCAGTGGTCATTACTAAAGCTGGTTTATAGTTTGCTCTTAAAGTTTTTTAGTACATTTTTAAAAATGTTTAATACAATTAATGACTGATGAACGAAGTAATTAATAACAAATTGTGGCTTATATATATATATATATATATATATATATATACACACTATTAGTTGTAGACGACGTAGTAGTACGTAACTAATTAAGTTAAAGTTAAGTATAAGTAATAAACTAAAATACGTACGGTACCGGTACCC